CCCCAAAACCCCAAAACCCCAAAACCCCAAAACCCCAAAACCCCTTATAGCTATAAAAGCCTGAAAGACTGTCAAGTACAATTAATATTTATGTCGACAAACGAGTTAATTTTATATACGAACGTCCTCTCTCCTTATTCTAGAACTGTCATGGGTAAGTCAATGACTCTGATGATTATATAGGTGTGCTAGCTTTGTTGGAGATAGAGTATAAGGAGCATATCATCAATCCGTTCAAAGGAGAGCAGAAGACTGAGTGGTATAAGAAAATCAACCCTAAGATGAAGATACCGGCAATTAAGGATGGAGATCATTGCATGGGAGAGTCAATTGACATTTGTAAGTATCTTGTGGAAACCAGGAAGCTGAAGACTCCTGTCTGGCCTGTGGACGATCAGGAGAAGACTGATCAGATGGAAAAGGATCTGGCCAAGATAGATGAGCTGGGCGCAGCTACTGGAGATGTTGCTTTCAAATGCTTCTTCGCTAAAGCACTAGGACAGAAGCTACCTCCTCCAAACGAAAAGAAAAAGTATTTGGATGTCCTTTACAGAGTGTATGATGGATTAGAAGCTACTCTTAAGCAAAGAAGGACTCAGTTCTTCAACTCTGATGGTAAGACTTTATCTTCATCTTCCTAGACCATCCTGGGCTCCAAGACTACCAATGCTACAATTTGTTCAGGCAAGTTATTGACATAGGCTTGGCTAAGCTCGACAAGCACCCTCTTCTTCAGCAGTGGGTGACTGCTTGTGGTAAAGTCCCAAGCATCGCAGCTGTGAACGTGAAGCTGAACAAGGAAATGAAGAAAGTGAAGTTTTTAATGAAATGGGTGTTGCCTATAATGAGATGCCTCACTTGTAAATGTTGCTGCTAAGCCATTTAAGACACTCAAGTTATGCTTTATATCTGGGCTTTACAGTTTTTATTAGAGTCGATATTTAGATCTATTCTTGCTAGTGACTCATAGTTGAAATAACCTTTTTCAAAGAAGGGTTTTAGAATTGAGAATTAGGAGTCACACCGTTGGGTTAAAAAGTTACGATCAGTTAACAAGTTTCAGTCATTAAAGACTAAAAGGGGTTTTGGGGTTTTGGGGTTTTGGGGTTTTGGGG